CTTTTTGAATGATGATGATACTGTTGCCATCATTAGACATCATGTCTCCTGACCTGTTCTTCAAAACTTCCATTGAGACGGCATCCAAGCACATGTACAACTGAGGAAACAACGGGGAAATCTGTTTGAGGGTCACATGGGCGCTTCCGCTCTGTTGGCGACCCTAGAAGCTTTAACCAAGAAAGCAGGTGAATCAAGTTAGGCCTGAGGGGAGAGAGTGCAAGCGGCAGGAGTTACTTCATCACACCAGGCTCTCCATGTGCTCCTGGAAGTCTTTCATGGCCTTTCCTCTGGGATCTGTTATCCAGCGATGGATAGGAGGAAAGAGCAAGTTAAAGTACTGAGAGAATAAATATCTGAGGCAACCTTCCTTCCTTCTCTGTGTTCCAGGTCCTCAGCTTTGGAGTCTTGACTAGTGAGTGATGCAGTCTAAACAAATGATTCATGAACTGGAGTTACACTGCCACCTATGGACTGAAGTCAAACACTGGCTTAGAGACTGGCTATATTGGTCTCTGTCCATGGAGTTGGTGACGCCATCCAGCCATCTCATCCTCTGTCATCCCCTTCTCCTCCCGCCCCCAATCCCTCCCAGCATCAGGGTCTTTTCCAATGAGTCAACTCTTCGCATGAGGTGCCAAAGTATTGGAGTTTCAGCTTCGGCATCAGTCCTTCCAGTGAACACCCAGGACTGATCTCCATTAGAATGGATTGGTTGGATCTCCTTGCAGTCCAAGGGACTCTCAAGAGTCTTCTCCAACACCATAGTTCAAAAGCNTCTTATCCTGTATTATTGACTTTCCTGCACCATAAATGGTACCTCATCAGCAGGATAACAGGAAGACAAATTTAGTTCCTATTAGTGATAACTAATAGGCTAAGTATAATAATGTGTCAACAGATGTATTGAACAGTCTTTTGGACTCTGGGAGAGGGCGAGGGCGGGCTGATATGGGAGAATGGCACTGAAACATTGTAAATTATCATATGTGAAATGAATCACCAGTCCTGAGCATGAATGGCATTGAAACATTGTAAATTATCATATGTGAAAGGAATCACCAGTCCTGAGCATGAGACAGGGTGCTCAGGGCTGGTGCATTGGGATGACCCAGAGGGATGGGATGGGGAGGGAGGTGGGATGGGGGTTCAGGATGGGGAACACATGTGCACCCATGGAGGATTCAAACCAATGTATGGCCAAACCAATACAACATTGTAAAGTAAAATAATAAATAAGTTGATTTTTTTATGTGTGAAACATTTTATATACTGTTTCATCAGTTGCAATTAATTTTAACTCTTAACTCTCTATTGATACAAAATTTGGGGGTTTTTTTCGGCTACACACACAGCATGTGTGAGATAGTTTTCGAAAATTGTTTTCAGGAAGACTGGCTTCAACTTTCCATTTCCAATATTTAGAAGATCAGCATAAGATTCTCAGGCCTGGACCCAAATGGAACACTCATTATCAATTTTCCTTCAGTCATCCTCAAGTACTTGCAAGGAATTGCCTGATTATTCTTTTCTTGTCTCCCTCGGGTAGTAAGGAAACAACATGTAATGTGTCTAGACTGGATATTTTTCTGTAGGCAATGCCTTTGGGGATCAGCTTGAATGTTTCTTTCAAACAGTCAATGATACTGTCAACTATGACTGGCATTCTTGTCATTTTCCCCAAAGCTGAACTTGGAGAAAAAGCATTTGGGTCAGATTGTATTTTAACAAAGTGTGTGCAAGCAAGAACATTACTTGTTCCCCTCAATCCCTATGCAGATCTTCACTTGGACAAATAGTGCAAACGTGAAACGTGGTCTCATGCCCTGTCAAGGACAAACTAGCACGTGCCATTGGCACGTGTCATCTACCTACAAGGTTTAAATCATGTGGTATTGCAGCTGCTGATTTTTAACACCCCTGGAAAGGAACGCAGCGTGGAAAGCAGAAGTGAGGCGTGCTGTGAGCAGGGAAAACTGGCAAAACAAGTCTTCAGAAGGTTAGATGTTTTCAGGGGCCCATTATATGAACCCAGTTCTGCTGTCTCCTCATATCTAGAAAAGCGCGGACCATCATGGTGATGATTGCTTCTTGTGACTCCAAGAAACCTTCACGACACTAGCTGAGAACTTCTACAAAAAATAGGTACATGATTACATGTACTCTCCCTTCACCAAAATCACATATATTCCCCTGTGCCTCATTGGAACAGCTTCTCAGAGCTATCTGATGTGCTATCTCCTGGGCTGCAGCCCTCATTTTGCCCCCCAAAAACTTCACCCGCAACTTTCGTGTTGTGCATTGTTGAAAGTCAGCACCCTGAACTTATCTCTTCATCCACTCATCACCCAATAAGTTCCCAACTTGTTTCAATGAGATTCCCATGAGGATATATCCAGGCCATGGAATGTGAGAGGAAGTGCTCTTGCCCTGTAGAGACCTGGCCCTTGAGAACATCCCCTGGGGGCCACAGCTTTCATCCCTTTACTGCTGAGTGTAGTAGCTTCAAGTAGTACAGACAAACTTGGAGTCACATGTTGATGATGGAAAACCTGATCCAGAAGGACTGCATTGTGCTCTTCAGAGAAGGAAAGATAAGCTTCTATTATGATGAAAATCCGCACAGTTTATTTTTTTTCTCTATAGCACCTCGAATTAAGTGAGAGAGATCTTTAAGAACTTAGGATCAAACAAACAACAACAACAAAAAGAATTGAGGATCCTGAAAACCTGTCCATGAGAAAGAAACTCTGAAGGCTTACCAGCCTCTCAGACATCAAGAGAATGTTTAAATGATGATCCAAAGATCTTTATACAAGAAAAGACATTCTCTTCTGCTCTCCACACTTGTTTCTGGAAAATCATGATTTTCATTTCAGACATTTCTCAATGCCTGAAGAATTATGAGTACAATTACTCTGGAGCAAGAAGCAAAAAATAATGTAATATATTAGCAAGTGTTATAAATATAAACATCTTTATTTGTGGAGGTTTCTTGAGGATTCTTATATGAGGGAAAGGCACTTTTAATTTCCATTCTCACAGCCTCTCAGGCAAAGTGGCTGTATTCCTGTTGCTGAGGTAGAGATGGATGCCATGGAAATACCCCCAGGCAGGAAGTCCCAAATGAGAACAGCACAGACGGTCTCCTTCCACCTGCTCCAATCGTTTCAGGCTCTGATCCGGGCTGGAGAGGAGCTTATCCAGCAGAGTGTTGCTCCAAGCAGCGCGGCTGTCCTCCGCGGTTGAAGAGTTAGTTGGAAGCTCTGCTGGAACATCAGATAGTGGTAGCAGCGGCCTTGAGTCATCTTCAGCAATGGAGTGATCTCTCTTTTCCAAGGAAATCTGAAGTCGGCTCTGTCCATTAGGCTTGACTGAGAACGGATCCTTTGTATATGTTTCAAGCGTTTGAAGATATCCATGTTCTTCCTGGCAGTGGCTCCCAGGCACGTTCCAGCGAAGAGAGCAAGCAGGGATGCAGCAGAGCATCACTCCTTCCTCCAGCAAGTGGAGGCGGGCCATAGAGAACGTCAGTGATTCTGCAGACGGCCGGGAGGGGGCGCGCGAACACCGCGAAACGACGAGCAAAGAGCGCTGAGATAGAACCGCAGACCGCCCGCTTCCCCAGGCGACTGCGAGAGCGAGATGAGGCTGATTACAGATTGGGGCTCGTTTCCGGCGCGATGCAGCCACACTCAANTGGCGATGAGACTACAGCTGATGTGACTTGACGACAGCGTTGAGGACAAAGTGAGCGCGGGGATCGGCGAGGAGACAATTGTTTATGGGCCGAAGGGAGGGCGATGCGCGCACAGCAAGACCTGCGGGGGCGATGGCACAGAGTGGGTCAAAGTTACACCCGGTGGTGGGGATGAGACCCTGGGCGTTGGGACTATGGAAGAGCTGAAGAAAAGTGAAAGACCACGGTGGGGATGGGATTATTTGCGATGGGACGCTGGGACAGCGTCGTGCACAACCTGAAATCCGGCGGTGGGGGTGAGGCTGTTGCGAACGAGAAGGTGGAAAAGTGTTGCGGGCAAAGTGAAAGCTGGCGTCCGCGCTGGGACAATAGGCAATGGGGCCGTGGGGGCAGTGTTGGGCTGTGGGGGCCGCGGTGGTTAAGACTTCGCTGTGGGGCGATGGGAGGGCGTTGTGCTCAAAGTGAAACTCTGTGACAGCGCTGAGACTATTGGCTGTGGGCAGTGGGAGGGCGTTTCTCACACAAGGCCGTTTCTCACTGGACTTGGCTTTGAGACGTTGGGAGACCATTGAGAACCAAGTGGAAGATGGCGGTAGCGGAAAGGCTACTGGCGGTGGGACGGTGGACAGCGTCGAGGGCAGAGTTAAACCCGGCGGGGGGATGAGACCATGGGCGATAGGACGGTGGACGGTGTGGTCCACACAGGGGACCCTGACAGCGGCGACGAGACTATTCGCTGTGGCAAGATGGAAAGGCGTTGTGCCCAGTGAAACACGATGGCAGCGATGTGACCTTCGGTTAGAGTTGGTGGGAGGGCGTTGAGGACACAGTGAAAGCGGGTCTAGGCGATGAGACAATGGGCTTGGGACGGTGGAACCGCGGTGTGAACATAGTTAAAGCCGGCGATGGGCCTTGAGACTGTGAGAGATGGGAAGATGCGAGGGCCTTGAGCAGAAAGAGGAGCCAGGGGGAGCTTTTTTGGACAAGGTGAGAATCAGCCAAGGCGATGGGACCCTGGGAGTGCGTTGCAGGCAGAGAACTCAGTGGCGGTCAGGGGACAAATAACCGTGGGACGGTTTGGGGCACTTCCTAGGAGGAAGATGGGACCAGGGAACTGTGCGCCGCTGGAATGCTCTGGAATTTTCAGGGTGTCTTTTTAGTATTCGGCCATGTAGTGTGTGAGTAAGTATTGAATAGCTGAAAAGTAGGAATATTTTTAAAAACACATGGCTTTCCTTTTAAATTAGTTTTATATTTCATTAATATACTTATTTTAAATTGAATAGTTCACGTTTTCAACTTCATAATAAATTTATATAATGCTTTTTAAATATTAAGTGTAGAATATTGAAATATGTTTTATATTTAACAATAGCATTTTAGTAAGTTTTATTTATACTATATGTTCTTTGTACTAAAACAAGTATTTAATATAGTTTTACTTTTCTATCTTTAATGGATGTAAACTTGTTAGTATTTTGAATATTATTTTTCACTTATTTTTTATTGAGGGCTTACCACATCTGAGAGTTTTTAATGACCCTACAGCATGGGCTGTCTGATACATTTAAAGAAGTGGAGGAGACAAGAGCAGGTAAACTGTACGGATACATGGTGCGTATTCCTATAACGTCAACATTCCACATGTCTTCCTTCTGTTTTAAATCCCTCAAAGGCAGGGGCCAGAAAACTAGTATTCTGCAGGCTTGCTTTGCAATAAATGTCTCCAGGGTGGTCTGCAATTTTTAATATGTGTTGTCACATAAATCAAGTTGACATGGAAACTGCCACGTTGATTTTTGTTTTATAAATAATGTATTTCCCATATGAAAGTTTAAATAAATAAATAATGCATAAATCAATTTAAAAATAGCTTACAGTCTTTAACTGTCCATTGAAATCCAGTGCATTGTATTGTCAGTTACTTCAAGAGCCTCTGCTGGCTGAAGAGTCTCACGTCAACTTCACATTGTCCACTCCCAGAGCCACAGGTGGGAGATGTTCAGTCTTGGAGGTATCCTGTTAGGCTCTTCAGGAAAGAAACGTTCTTGAGCATTTCTGCTCTCACAACTGTCCAGGCACCGCTGTTGTAGTCCTTGGACTTCAGGTACTGCACGAGGTTGTATTTCTTCAGATGAAGAATGGTCACGTCTCCCATGGTGAAGTTTTTCTTCTGCATGATTTCCTTCTGGATTGGCTCCAGATGATCCATCTGCCCTTGGAGTTCCACAAGGAGGTCCTCAATGATGGTCTCAGACCAGCCAGTGCTGGAGAAGTCTCTGGTGAGAATTCTGAAGATCTGCTGGAGCATCTCATAGATGACCAGTACGGCATCTTCCTTCTGGAACTGCTGTGCTTGCCTCATCTCCTCAGGGACCTGGAAGTCCATCCTGACCTCGAGGCAATGTTGAGGAGTTGAAGGTAACTGCCGCAGGAGTTTCTGACACACCGTATCACTTCTCCTTTGTTGGAATCGAAGCAAGCTGTAGTTCCTGGAGAGAGCTGTGGTGGAGAAACACAGCAGAAGAACCATCTGGAGGAGGCACCGGTAGGTCATGGTGAAAACAGGCACAGGGCTACCTGTTCTGCTAGTAGATGCTGAAGCTGAGTCTTCAGCCCTTTGCAGAGTGAATGTGCTTCCTCCCTGAGTGTGGGCTGCTTATATAGGATGGCCCTCCATTCTTTCTATTTGAGGGGAATTTCCCTCTTTCCAGTCTCCCTTTTAGTTCTCTTGTGTTGGTGAAATGATTAGTTTCCACTAAAACTCTTTTTCTTTTTAGCTCCTTCCTTTTTGATTTTATGTGTGTTAGGGGAAAAGATATACAGTCTGGGAGAATTTCTAATCTTTTTGTAAGTTTTCAGTGAATTGCTAAATGCAAAGAAAGAATGGCTAACAAATTTGAACTGAATTATTAAAGGGTTCTTTAGTTGGCAAAAGATCTTTCTTGTTCTTTTTTTATATTGTTAGATTTTGTGAAAGGGTCCTTATTTCTAAGAGTTTAATGATTGTAGAAAATAATTTATTTTTTGTATAAGCTAAGTTTGTATGAATGTTTTTTAGGCCTTAACCATAAGCAGCAAGAGATTGCATATCTTTATCAACCTTAATTTATTGCTTGATTTGGGAATCTCAAACTATGCAGAATATAGCAAAGTAGAAGTTAAGTCTTATGTCGACGCATACAAATGAATGTTATACAAGCCAAGTATTAAAGTTCATGATTTGTTTTGTAGGACGCCTTATGACCATAACTGATGGCCAATGTATATTTATGTTGCACATACTTTGAATAGTCTAATTATTAAAATTAATACAATCAACATAATAAAATTAATATTATTGATTATACTTATAATATGATTAATTATACTGTAATTAAGAATATAATGTAATTAATATTAAATAATCTAATAATCTAATCTAAAATCTGATTTTGAATAGTAAGGTAAGGATGTAGCAAGCAGGAAAAAATTCTTTCCTCTTCACTTTGTGCCTTTAGTACTGTTTGTACATGAAATTTTCCCCGTAATGAAAGAATATTTGTGAGATAGGATTCTTAGGGATTTTCGTAATCTGGTTTCAAAGAATTTAAACAATGTTACTAAATTTTTACCCTTTCTTTTCGGACATTAAAATTTTTTCTATAAGGAATATATTTTTTGGTATCATTAGAAGATAAAAATCACCTAGTTATATTCAAAAGCAGGGCATAAAATTGTAGGTACAATGCCACTATGTAAAAGTATATAGGAAAAAAATAAACTAAAGGAAATATACTAACATTTCAATAGGATTTATATTTAATTTGTGCAACTAAGTACTGATTATTTTTTCTTTCTGTGATTTTCCCATATACTACCAGAGAATGTATTCAGCACTGCTGAGAAGAAAACTCATTGGAGCCATACAGGCAATTTAAATGTTTCTAGTTGCCACATCAAAAGATTATAAAAAGACAAGTGAAGTTAATTTTAACAGTGTATTTTATTGAACACAAAATATCCAAATGGTATGATTTCAACACATACCAATATAAAATTAATCATGAGATAGTTACATTCCTCTTTTTGATCGTTCCTTCAAACTATAGTGGAGGCGGGCCATAGAGAACGTCAGTGATTCTGCAGACGGCCGGGAGGGGGCGCGCGAACACCGCGAAACGACGAGCAAAGAGCGCTGAGATAGAACCGCAGACCGCCCGCTTCCCCAGGCGACTGCGAGAGCGAGATGAGGCTGATTACAGATTGGGGCTCGTTTCCGGCGCGATGCAGCCACACTCAACAGAAAGGGGCCGGGCAGCGGTGATGAGATTATTGGCGATGCGAGGATGGACAGCGCTGTGCCCAAAGTGAAACTAGAAGTGGGCATGGGACGATTGGTTACTAGACGCTGTGGGGGCGTTGCTGACAAATGAAACAAGGTACCTGCGATGAGGCTATTGGCTGCACCGCCGTGATGGAGGCGGGGATCGGCCGGCACAACGATCACGCTGCAATCCCGCGCGCTAGGAGAACGTTGGGAGGGCGCTGTGCACCGAGTGAAACGCAGCGGCGGCGCTGACTATTGGCTGCGCGGCGCCGGTGGGGGCGGGTGGGCGTTGCGCACCAGGAGCGCGGCGGCTCTGAGACTATTCGCTGCGGGGCCCTGCCGGGGCGTGGCTCACACGGTGGAATCCCGCGGTGGCTAGGAGACGGTTTACAGTGAGTCGAGGGGAGAGGGTTCCGCACAAATTGGAACACTGTGGCACACAGCGGCCGCGATGAGACTATTGGCTTTCCCACGATCGGGGTCGGGGTGGGGAGGTGCGGGGCGTTGCGAACACGGTGGAATCCCGCGGGAGCTCATAGACTATTCGCTGTGTGACTATGGGCGGGCGTTGGGTCCAAAGTGGAACACAGTGGCCGTGATGACGCTATCCGCTCTGGGGCTATGGGAGGGCGATACCGGGCGGTGGCAATGAGACACAGCTGATGTGACTTGACGACACCGTTGAGGACAAAGTAAGCGCGGGGATCGGCGAGGAAACAGTTGTTTATGGGCCGACGGGAGGGCGATGCGCGCACAGCAAGACCTGCGGGGGCGATGAGACTGTTTGCCAGGCGACAAAGGGACAGAGTGGGTCAAAGTTAAACCCGGTGGTGGGAATGAGACCCTGGGCGTTGGGACTATGAAAGAGCTGAAGAAAAGTGAAAGACCACGGTGGGGATGGGATTATTGGCAATGGGACGCTGGGACAGCGTCGTGCACAATCTGAAATCCAGCGGTGGGGGTGAGGCTGTTGCGAATGAGACGGTGGAAAAGTGTTTCAGGCAAAGTGAAAGCTGGCGTCCGCGCTGGGACAATAGGCGATGGGGCCGTGGGGGCGGTGTTGCGCTGTGGATGCCGCGGCAGTTAAGACTTCGCTGTGGGGCGATGGGAGGGCGTTGTGCTCAAAGTGAAACTCTGTGACAGCGCTGAGACTATTGGCTGTGGGCAGTGGGAGGGCGTTTCTCACACAAGGCCGTTTCTCACTGGACTTGGCTTTGAGACGTTGGGAGACCTTTGAGAACCAAGTGGAAGATGGCGGTAGCAGAAAGGCTACTGGCGGTGGGACGGTGGGCAGCGTCGAGGGCAGAGTTAAACCCGGCGGAGGGATGAGACCATGGGCGATAGGACGGTGGACAGTGTGGTCCACACAGAGGACCCTGATAGCGGCGACGAGACTATTCGCTGTGGCAAGATGGAAAGGCGTTGTGCCCGGTGAAACACGATGGCAGCGATGTGACCTTTGGTGGGAGGGCGTTGAGGACACAGTGAAAGCGGGTCTAGGCGATGAGACAATGGGCTTGGGACGGTGGAACCGCGGTGTGGACACAGTTAAAGCCGGCGATGGGCGTGAGACTGTGAGAGATGGGAAGATGCGAGGGCCTTGAGCCCAAAGGGGAGCCAGGAGGAGCCTTTTTGGACAAGAGGAGAAACAGCCAAGGCAATGGGCCCCTGGGAGTGCGTTGCAGACAGAGAACTCAGCGCGGTCAGGGGACAAATAACCGTGGGACGGTTTGGGGGACTTTCTGGGGGTGAGAACAACGCGGCCACCACCTACCTGGGTCAGGGACCAGAGAATTGTGCGCCCCTGGAATGCTCTGGAATTTTCAGGGTCTTTCAAGGATTCGGCCTTGAAGTGGAGGAGTAAGTGTTGAATAGCTGAAAACTAGGAATATTTTAAAAATTACAGCACTTTGTTTTTTTGAATTAATTTTATATTGAATTATATACTTATTTTAACTTAAATATTTCACGTTTCCAGTTTTATAATAAATTTATATAAGGTATTTTAAATATTAGNAGCTTACAGTCTTTAACTGTCCATTGAAATCCAGTACATTGCATTGTCAGTTACTTCAAGAGCCTCTGCTGGTTGAAGAGTCTCATATAAAACTCACATTGCCCATTCAGGAGCCACAGGTGGGGAGATGTTCAGTCACGGAGGTACCCTGTTAGGCTCTTGAGGAAAGAAAAGTTCCTGAGCATTTCCGCTCTGACGACTGCCCAGGCACAGCTGTTGTAGTCCTTGGACAGTAGGTACTCCACGAGGTTGAAGTAATATTTCTTCAGGTGAGGAACGGTCATGTCTCCCATAGTGAAGTTTTTCTTCTGCATGATTTCCTTCTGGATTGGCTCCAGATGATCCATCTGCCCTTGGAGTTCCACAAGGAGGTCCTCAATGATGGTCTCAGACCAGCCAGTGCTGGAGAAGTCTCTGGTGAGAATTCTGAAGATCTGCTGGAGCATCTCATAGATGACCAGTACGGCATCTTCCTTCTGGAACTGCTGCGCTTGCCTCATCTCCTCAGGGACCTGGAAGTCCATCCTGACCTCCAGGCAATGTTGAGGAGTTGAAGGTAACTGCCGCAGGAGTTTCTGACACACCGTATCACTCCGCCTTTGTTGGAATCGAAGCAAGCTGTAGTTCCTGGAGAGAGCTGTGGTGGAGAAACACAGCAGGAGAACCATCTGGAGGAGGCACCGGTAGGTCATGATGAAAACAGGCTCAGGGCTACCTGTTCTGCTAGTAGATGCTGAAGCTCAGTCTTCAACCCATTACAGAGTGAATGTCCTTCCTCCTTGAGTGTGGGCTACTTAGACAGGATGGCCCTCCATTCTTTCTATTTGAGAGGAATCCCAACTTCCAGTCTCCCTTTTAGTTCTCTTATGTTGTTTAATGATTAGTGACCTCTAAAACTCTTTTTCTTTTTAGCTCCTTCCTTTTAGATTTTATATTTCTTAGGGGGAAAGATATACAGTTTGGGAGAATTTCTAATGTTTTTGTAAATTTTCAGTAAAGTGCTAAATGCTAAAAAAGAAATGCCTAATCAATTTGAACTGATTATTAGAGGGTTCTTTCACTGGGAAAAGATCTTTCTTGTTCCTTTTTCATACTGATAGATTTTGTGAAAGAGTCTTTATTTCAAAGAGTTCACAATTTTAGGAAAAAATTTATTTTTTGTATAAGCAAAGTTTGTGTGAACTTTTTTTAGGTCTTAACCATAAGCTGGAAGACACTGCATTCTTTACCAAGCTTAATATATTGCTTGATTTGGCAATCTCAAACTATCCAGAATATACCAAGGTAAAGACTAAGTCATATCTCTAGGCAGGCAAATGTATGTTACACAGGCCATGCATAAAAGTTTATGATTTCCCTTGTAGGACGCCCTTGTTACCATTACTGAGGGCCAATGTATATTTATTTTGTACATACTGTGAATAATCTAAATATCTGATTTTGCATACTAAGGTAAGGATGCAGCATGCAGGAAAATTCTTTCCTCTTCACGTTGTAGCTTTAGAACTCTTTGTACATGAAATTTTCCCCATAATGAAAGAATATCTGTGAGATAGGATTCTTAGGTATTTTCATAATCTAGTTTCAAAGAATTTAAACAATGTTACTAAATTTTTACCCTTTCTTTTCTCACATTAAAATTTTTTCTATAAGGAATATATGTTTTGGCATCATGAGAAAATAAAAGGCACCTAGTTGTATTCAAACGCAGGGCATACAATTGTAGATACAATGTAAGCATGTAAAAGTATATAGTAAAAAAATGAACTAAAGGAAATGTACTAACATTTCAGTAGGAATTATATTTAATTTGTGCAACTAAATAGTGATTATTTGTTCTTTCTGTGATTTTCCTATATGCTACCAGAGAATGTGTGCAGCACTGCTCAGAAGAAATATCCTGGGAGCCATACAGGCAATTTAAACTTTTCTAGTATCCACATGAAAAGATTAAAAAGAAACAAGTGAATTTAA